GTCTACATCCATGCTGTCCCAGGAAATCTGAAAAATAAAGTTGTTGCATGTTAAGTAAAACTGTTAAAGCTAAAGTCAATGTATTAGTATAATTTCCGCACTGAACAGTGTCAAAACTTTCTATTTATGTGGAATAGTTGGCATCAGTACTTTCAGCCAATGAAGCAGTGTGAATAATGCTTTGGCTGGTTCACACATGGTCCGAAGCCATGGTTTCCCATAACTGTATTTTACTGAATAACTAAGGAGACTCAGACAACAATCAAACTATATACCAAGGTTGTGAACCACTAGGACCACTTCTTGCCTGCCGACCACTGGCGGATCATGGAGGAGGAACCGGCTTCCTTGCTCAAGCCCAGCTGCCCGTAGCTGTCCCCAACAGAAGAGCATGGCATGTTCGGATCCTTGGTCTCTGGCTCCTTCACCCCAAGATTTCTCCCAGCGCTGAGTTCAGCCTTCCTTCCCACTGGGTATCACCATGAGGCAGCTCAGCTTTGATGGAGAGGCAGCCCCTGGCCCTTTGTGAAGCTGCCATACACCTGAAACCCAGCATGGCAAATGTCCCCAAATCCCTTTCTTTGCCACTCAGATATATGGATAACATATGTCTGCTCTTTCACTACTAAATCAGAGATGAGAAGGTCACACACACACACACACACACACACACACACACACACACACACATTGTATTTAGCAACAACAACCTGAGGTAAGGCTTCTTTCTTTAGGGTTCAATTTTTTTATTACTTTATCAAACTATAAAATACAGAAATACAAAGAAAAATGAAAATAATGGGAAAATGGGGGTGGGGAGAGGAAAAGAAAAAAAAGTGTAGGGGAAAGGGGAAAAGAAATAGAAAAGGCATTGGCGTCCGACTGGTGCAGTAGCATAAGATAATAACATATAACCTCAACTGCTTGCTTTTACATCATTAAAAAGAACATATTAACTCAATCTAATTACGTGGTTAATTAGATAAAACAGCATATTTTCAAAGTACTACAGGATCGCTTTATTTCTTAATGAAGCAAGAAAATCACTGAACAGTCATCTAACCAAAATCCCTTGTGACAATCTTGTTCTCCCATCTGAGGTCAAAAGAAGGCTACCGCTTCCAAGGTGGCATCTTATTCAAGCTCCTGTTTCAGACTCTGGGCACAAATCTGCCAAAGCCACGATTGTGGCTGATCGCTTGAAGAAGCTTCTCTTTCAGTTTTTGTTTTGTTGAGTAAACTGGCAGAAATAAAAGATGAAAACAGGTGTCAGCCCCAGGGATAAGATCCTCTGAGGGCAAGTAATGTGGATAAATCTTCCAAGGTTCCATTCCTGTCACAGGGATCCTGTCATTTCCTGCCAAAAACACTAGAAGTATGAGAAATCATCAGTTAGACACAGAATATGAGGGGGACCACAGACAGATCTAAGAACATGAGATTCTTTGACTATAGGATAATATTGCCCCCCAAAAGATGATATGCTGGCATCCAGAGGCCTTACCTGGCACGATGCCGGCCAAACTGGAGCTTCTGAGGGGCAGATCCACCCCTCAGAAGCTCCATCCAGAGGTCTCGCCTGGCATGATGCTGGCCAAAATTTATTTTTTATTTTATTTATTTATTTTAATTTGTCAATCGCTTACAAGATAATAGATATAAGTATATACATAGTTATGGATACATGAAATTGGGTACATATAAGAAAAATAAAAGAAACAATAGGACAGGGACGGTAGGCACGCTGGTGCGCTTATGCACGACCCCTACAGACCTCTTAGGAAAGGGGTGAGGTCAATAGTAGACAGGTTAAAGTTTTTGGGGTTTGTGGAAGAAACCACAGAGTCAGGTAGAGTATTCCAGGCATTGACCACTCTGTTGCTGAAGTCATATTTCCTGCAATCAAGTTTGGTGTGGTTAACCTTGAGTTTGTATCTATTGTGTGCTCTTGTGTTGTTATGGTTGAAGCTGAAGTATTCATTGACAGGTAAGTCATTGCAATGTATGATTTTATATACCATACTAAGATCAGCCCAAAGACGGTGTAATTCAAGGTTTTCTAGGTCTAGAATTTCAAGTCTGATGGCATAGGGTATTCTACAATGAGTAGAGGAGTGGAGAACTCTTCTTGTGAAATATTTCTGGACTTTCTCAACTGTGCTAATATCAGATATGGAATGTGGGTTCCAGACTGATGAGCTGTATTTGAGTATTGGTCTAGCAAATGTTTTGTATGCTCTAGTCATTAGTGTAATATTACCAGAGAAAAAGCTACATAGGATTGGGATAACAACTCTTAATGCCTTTTTGGCTATGTAGTTACAGTGGGCTCTAGATCATTAGAGATGAGTACTCCAAGGTCCTTTACAGAGCTTGGATCATCAACAAGGTCTTGACTATTCAGCTTGTATTTTATTTTCTGATTTTTTTGCCAATATGTAAGACAGATCATTTATTTGTTGAGATTTGAAGTTGCCATTTATTTAACCATTCTGATACATAGTCAAGATCTTTTTGAAGGGTAGCAGTATTGTCTGTGGTATTGAACAGCTTTACATCATCAGCAAAGAGAAGAGAAGGGATGCTTTGGGTGGTCTTAGGCAGATGGCCTGTTCCATCACTAGCCCCCTCCCATGGCCTTCCCCACCCTGAAATACCTCATGTGTGCTTAATGAGCCTTGCATTGGGTTAAGAAATGCATGGGTGAAAGGAGGGAGTGATCCCGTTCAAGGTACGAGATTCACTCCTAAAAATCCTTCGGTTACGAATGGAATGGACAGGTAGCCTCCAACTTAGGATCACAATTGAGTCGAAAATATATGTTGTTAAGTGAGAAATTTGATGACTTTTGCGCCATTTTACAACTTTCCTTGCCACATTTGTTAAGTGAATCTCTGCAGTTGTTAAATGAGTAACACAGTTGTTAATTGAATCTGGTTTCCCACACCAACTGTGCTTATCGGGATACTGCGACTGTCATAAATATGAAGCCATTGTCAAGCATCCAATTGTAAATCCCATGACCGTGGGGATGCTGCAACGATCATAAGTGTGAAAATTGGTCATGAGTCACTTTGTTCAATGTCATAACTTTGAACCGTGACTAAACAAACTGTTGTAAGTCAAGGACTACCTGTATAGAGTTGCTTCTCAATTATCATTTCAATTCCTTGACTATCTGCATTAAAAGAAGCTTTTGGAGAGATATGAATGCCTTCTGCTGACATTCAGAATAGCTCATAACACAGAAGGAAATTCACCTTCAAGATCTTTAGAAAAAGAATGAAGTACTTGCATATAGATACTTACCCAGAAAATGTTTTTTATCCTCCAAACTCAGCTCATGGAAAACTTCCCAGAACATCTTTATAGTTGGGTGCGTTGGGCTGTATATACCCGAATACACAGCATTCTTCAATGCAGGAATAATAAACAATGGGGGGAAAATCAAGAAACAATAAGAATAAACAATAAGCTATATAATAAACAATAAACTATATAAGACACTCAAAAGTCACTTGAACAGTGAGATGGGAAGCAAAAGAAAAGTGAAGAATGTATGGAAGGAAGGAAAGAAGAAGAAAAAGAGAAAGAGAAGAAAAAGAAAAGAGAAAGAAAGAGGCTTTAGTAACTTTATCTGCAACCATGCTTCAAACTCCTAAATGTCATCCAAGCAATTCTATCATCCACTTATTTGATAAGCTAGGAGAGTTGTGACGGAGAAAAATTAATTCCATTTACCAAACCCTACCCATGCCAATTGAAAATTATGCTGTAGCTAATGGCATAGTTCCATTCCTCCAATCATGATCTGCTCATAAGGGTCCTTCTCATAAAAAACATCTCTCCATCCACTTACCTTTTCGCACAAATCCCAGTCATACTTGGCATTTCCAATTGCCACTTCCATCAGTTGTTCAGGCTCAAAGATGCCAACTAGCTGTTCATCCAGGACTTTGTAAAATCCTCTCTTGAACTCACTGAAAACATCATCCACTGATTTGTTGAATATGTAATCCACATATTTGTCAACAAAGTCTTTCCTTTAAAAAGTAGAAAATAAGCCGATTTTTTTTTCAAGAAGGTCAAATTCTTGGCCTTTAAATAAATTTATCAGGGTTCAGAATCAGATCTCTTTTGGGGAAATTCGGTTAGCATTGCTCATAAATCTAAAACTATGTTTACATTTATTTGTTAATGTAATAAAT